TGTGACGTTTCAAAATGTCACTTTAAACTGACGTTCCAAGTGCTTTCCTTATTTACTTTCAGGCCTCTTCCTATCGGTATTTAGTTAGCATAGTCATATAACATACGATGAACAACGAGTTTCTCTAAGGGCCAGGGGACACTATCACAGGCACAGTGACCAAATGGGTGATGGAAATCAGTAAGACCTTCGACAGCCATCCTGTTTATCCCAACTCCCACAAGTCTGGTGAGACGTGGTTTAAGAAATCCAATTGGAATCTAAAGATAAAACTCCTGTCTTAGTCAACGCCTGCTCTGTCCCACTGTCCGTCTTTATCCTGATTTGGGATATATCAATTCTTCTAAGGCCCTTGTAATCTTTGCTAAGTCCTAAAGGGACATTTTCTATCCCTTTAAGTCTAAAAGCAGCTTTCATGCCACTGTGCACTACGTACCTGGGCAGCTGCCCGACCCTAGTGGGCTTCCGGGATTCCAGTGTTGAGTTGACTTGGCCAGGTAACGGTAGTTCTTATGCTCAGGAATTTTTCTAATACCCGCCTCTCATTTTTCGTTTTGCTAACTAAATGCATTCATTCATTTTCTGAGTGATTTTAGACATTTGTTCTTCCTTCTACATATAATTTCATCTTTTTCGGTGTTCACAATAAGAAAAAGAAATCGCACAAACTCTAAGGATCGCAGGAGATAGTTAAAACACCATCCATCCGCCAAGGCTTTTCTGGAGACCTCTGTCCCATGGAATCTGTTTTCCCCAGTAGATTCGACCCTCAGCCTGCTTACACTGTTTACATTGCTGCAAAATAACCCAGGAAGCAGACTAGTACCCGCACTGCGTGGACTGGCCAGTACTCCCTACGTGGTCTGCGACGCACTTCCGTCAAGCTGGACTGGCCGGTGGGAGGGGCTGCGCCTACCGATTGCGGTCAGTCTTTGCACAGCTGCACTGTATTCTGAGCCACACAGATGACCACTCATTTCTCAGCACGGCTCCTCTCTGTGTTTCCTTAATTATCTGTTCCTAGGATATCTTCAGTTCCACTCAACAGAGGGCACTGGATTCCTATGGCAAAAATACCAATGTATACACATTAGAAAAAACTTAAAACATCCTAGTTTTTTTGTTTTTTTTGGTACCAGGGATAGAACTCAAGACCTTGCGCATGAAAGACAGGCATGGTGCCATTGAGCTAAATCCCCAGCCCTTAAAACATCTTAGAAGACAGTGGGAGAAGCTGAATTCTTGTTTGTTGCTATTAATTGCATAAATTGGTTAAGTTATGTCAAAGAGCAATTTGGTAACATACAGTCAAGGTAAAGAGGTATATACCAAAACTTTCTACAATTTGACTTTTGGGTACATTACCAAAATGATACGTAACAGAATGATATAACAGTATGTTAACTGTAGATAAAAATTTGAAATTACATAGACGGAGTGAGGATATTGAATAAATAAATCACAGTATATTTATTGATGCAAATTTGTGCAACAACTTTTTGTTGTTGTTTTTGTTTTTTTTAATTGAGTCTATTGGTACATTTTAGGGATACAGTACAGTTACATTCATTGTTCGGATTGTGTACCTCTACGTGACAGGTCTTCGTTCTCATTTTTCCCCTCGTCCCTGCCCACACTTCACCCCCTCCTCCCCCCCCCATTTACAAACACTTTATTTCCATCTTTTCATTTTCTCACATTTTTTTCTTTTCCTTTATTACCTTTCCCCTACCCATCTCACCTTCCCTACACCTTTAGCCCTTCCCATTTCACAATGTCAGTTATCTCATTAGGATCTTATGTACTATTACAGTTTATTCACACCAGAGAAACTATTCTGTATTTACACATGTGTGACTTATTTATTTCACTTAGGAGTATACCCTCAATATGTATCCATTCTTGCAACAACTTAATAAACTATGTCTTTGTGTATTAGAATGAATGCACTCTGAAAATGTGAAATTCAAAAGCAGGTTTCAGGTTAATACTCATCATGATGCCACGTCTGTAAAATCTGAAGGAAATAACCCCAAAATAATACCAGTTAAATCTGGACAATGAAAGCCTGATTGTTCCTTTCCTTATTTTTAAATTTTTCCAACTTTTAAAAAATATTTAATAGCCAAAAAGAGAAAATATTAATTGTATATACTCTCCACTTTCCTGTATTAAGCTCTTTGTAAAAACGTACTTCATTGTCTAATTGAATGTATTTATTACAATATTTAAACTAAAAGTTAGCACTGATAAAGCACCTCATGTTTAAATTAAAAGGAATTAAATTGGGATTGAAGAGACCAAAAGGGTAGTTATTTGGATTGGCAGACTTTTCAAATATAGGAAATTTTAGCTATTTCCATGAAAATAATGCTGAAAGGGGGGAGAAATCAGGTGAACCACTGAGACGCATCCCTTTGTGATAAAAGTTGTGGGACAGAGAAAAAGCCACTCTAAGCACGCTGGGGAAGAAATTTAAAAGCGATGCTGCACGCTTACAACGGCTGGTTTATGGCAGGCAAGAAACTAAGAGCTAAAGCATGACTTGGGATAAGAGAGAAGGAATATTTAAGAAACTCGGTTCTGTCACTGTAGGCGGGGTGTGAATCGCTGGGCTGAGGGAAAGGCAGAGCTCCGAGGGTTTGCAAAGGTGCGGGCAGCACAGAGAGGAGGAAAGGAGCAGAGGCCTGCAGGGGGTCCGAGGGCTGGATCAGGACGGACGCCCACTCCGAAGTGAGACACTTGGTGCCCAGAGCACGGCAGCCACAGGACACCCAAGGACAGCTGCGCGTGCTGGGAGCCCTGGGCAGCTGCGAAATCCATGCACCTAAGGCTTTGGGCCAGCGCGGCAGAGCTCTCTGTCTAACGCGGAATGCGCTCCCCTCTGGCCGGGCGTCCTCCAGCCGCCCCAGGCTGCTAATGCTCTGCAGATGCGGAGCTCTGCTTCTCCCAGCACCACCCGCCGTCCCGAAGTTCATTATGACCTCCAGCACCGGCTTCCCAGTGACGGCTGGGAGGTCTTCAAGTCAGACGCTTTCTCCCGACGCCTCAGCAGATCAGCTTCCGCTTCTCACCCCTTTCTGCACTCTGCTGTCTGCCCCTGAATTTAAGGTCATCTGAATGGGGAAGGGGAATGAATGTTGGGACCCTTGAGATGAAGTAGTTACTAAAGTTAAGAACAGGTTTATTTTCCTGCAGGAGTAATATGCGCCCCTCGTTTGTTATAACACCCTTGTCAATCTCCTCTCCTAACTCTCAGCCCTTTCGAACCATCCCAGAAGTTCTAGTGATCCGAGCTCTTTCTTGTTCCAATTTTCCTTATTGCCGTTCTTTGTTTTTCTCTCAGATGCTGGAAGACTTGTCATTGACTCAAACCTTCTTTTATAACCTTGTAGCTAAGACTGCTGGCTGCCACGTGTGCCCTTCACACCTGCAGGTTCTCGGATGCCCTCTCTTCTCGCAGGAGGGTCGGGGAAGGCCGCCGTCTTTGTGATCATTCCTCACGTTTGTTCGTGGCTGTCACATGGGTGGCTTGGCACTAGCTGTCATCTCACAGACACTCTTTCAGCGGTCACCAAACATGGCTTTGCAACCACACATTTTATTTCGTTTCGCGGGGCCATGGGGCTGAGAACGGTGTCAGCCATTCACATTGCACCGCCATCATTACGTGTGTTTGGTCCCTCACTGCCCCCTCTACCACAGGCAGTCCTGCTAATGCGCCATTGCCCATCTTCGTAAAATGCGTGTCCTTTGGAGACACGTACAGTGGAGTGTGTGCAGGCTTCATTTACACAGAAGGAAGCGTATTATTTTCTTGCTGTGAGTTTTGCTCTTTTAGCCTCTATTTTACTTTCGTGTCCCTCTGTGTCTACGATCTCCCAGTGGCAGATCAGGCCTTGGTTAAGCATGTATCTCACACATAGCCTGTTCCCTGCTGCTTTGTCTCCCACAGACTGCACAGTGCCTCAGGCTGCAGGACATGAAGACGGTGGACACCTCCACGTGGGCATCTGTGTGTGAGAGTCCCTCTGCGCCATTGAGCGTGCGCCTTCCCATCTGGCCTGATTCGCACACTGTGCTGCCCTCATCCCACAGCACTGGCACTGGTGTCACTGAGCTCACGAACAGCTTCTTGAGAGTTTTTAGGAGTTAGTCTCACGTGCAACCAGGACTAACCAGCACTGCACAGAATGAGCGTGGGACTAAAATACATGTGTGTGTGTGCACATGTGTGTGTGTGGTATTTGCTAGGCCCTGAAGCCAGGACCTCACATGCTCAGCACATACCACTGAGCTGTGACCCCAGCCCTGGAGAAACAATTCTTTGACCTGATTATCACTTCCTAAGTGCATCAGAGAAAGCTCCTGAATTACTCACTGCCAGTGGTGTATTCTGTGGGGTGGAAAGTAGAGTGACCACTAGAACTCGCATTTCCTCTCTACGTTACCCTAAGTACATCGACACCCTTAGAGAGAAGGGACAGCATACAGATTCGAATTTACTTTCAATTAAAATTATTTCAAGTACTCAGATATATAGGTAGTATGGATCCCTGCTCCTCTAAAGATCAGTTAAAATAGAACTTATACAGACGAAAGAGAAAAATGATATTGAAGCTTAGTGAAAACCAAAATTCTCAGAATTTTATAAAGCATAAATTATATATGCCATTTCCTGAATAACACATTTTGTCAAGTGTAATGTGCATATTTAGTTATATGTAGTAGCTTTTTTCCATTATCAAACATTTCTTTATTGGAAAAATATGAAATGTCATAGACATAATTTCAACTGTTCTAGGTGCTAATGCAATGGCAACAACTTAGCACCTACTTCTTTTATAGATATAAATAGTAATAGATGGCTAGAAATACATGCAAAGAAATTGGTATCTTCAGTGACTTTTATTCAGCTCTCCACAGTGAACAATGAATTAACTCTGATGAATCTGAAGGTATTGTGAAGTGTAAAAATACACTTTTATTTTAACTGAACATCAGCACTCTTCTATCCTGATTTTATTCCCAGAATGATTCTGAGATGGAGGAGCCCACTGGGTCACTTCAGGTATCTTCAGCAAAAATAAAATGCAAATCCAGTAGAAATTGGTGAAAATATATTCAATAATTTCAATAACTGTAATCATACTGGCCCCACAGAATAGGCCCAGCTGGCCACCGACATCAGCTATAACAACAACAAAAATAAAATACAAAAACTGAGTCAAGCATTATTTTTCATAAAAAGCAAACAAACATTGTTAGAAATTAAATTGTTTGAGGCTAATGTTAGCTCGCCAATTGTAATGGGTACAAGGCAACCGATACTGTAAGAAGATAGAATATCAGGCAACTGACACTATGTGAAAATAGGTTAACTGCATTATTTTAAAACTTGGCATAATTAAAGTACTAGTGGTTCATAATATCTGGCAAGAATATTCATTCAAATCATTTCAGAAAGAAGAGGGAAGAAACAAACATAAAATCTGTCTCTGGAATACATCCCAAAGACTTTGGAAGACAATGGGCCCAAGCAAATCCTAAACATCCTATAACAATGTGTCTGTTTCCACCTGTGAAATAGATTTATAAATATAAATATTTATATATAAGTATATATAATTATAAATATATATATATAAGTATTGTTTTGCAGAAAATTAATTTCCAGGCAGCTTGGACTGCAAGTATCCCAAGTTTACTTCTTTGTAAACTTTTATAACATTTCATTCAACCTAAGTGTATTAAAGCAGCACTGCTTTTTAAAAAGGTTTGAAGAAACTGTATTTAGTGAACAGTTTTTGAGTGTGCAGTTCACTCACATTTTGCACACTCATCTTAGTCATTCATCTCTGGAAATGCCCCTGCTCCCCAGGGGCCCAGTGGACCTGTAACTCCCCATCCGGCCCCTGTCAATCTCTCTTCTGTCTTTGTATCTGCATTTGAGAACCTCAGCACTGTCTTCCTGATCAGATTCCTAATCTATCTCACTGCACTGGGGAAGTGTAGGCTTCTCTGAAAACTGTTGAGAATTTGTCTATTTTCTCTCACTTTGGGGTCTCAGCTGCTCCCTCTGTCTTTTTGCCTGACTCTGACCTGTTTTCTTCCTCCATCAAGCCTTCTTCAAACACAGTGAGGATAAAATGGAAGCAAAGCTTTTGTAAATAAGGAGGGGAAGAGGGTAAATGAGGGAGGGCAGGGAATGGGGAAAAGAAGAGGAATCAAGATACATCACGTGCAGGTAAAGTTCCCTATGATGCATGTGATCATTATGTAAATCTAAATTGTACCGATGAACTTAGTAATAACAGAACACACTCAGTGAGTCGGGAGAGCAGTGGGAAGAGGGTCAGGGCTGCCCGGTGGGTGAGTGGAGAGGGCAGTGGTAGAATCCTAAGTGCTTAGTTTTGCTTGCTCGGTTCACCTCCCTGTGCAGCTCTGGGTGCAGGCAGGAGGTGTCTGAATTCGGCCCACTGAAAACCTCTGCAAGTGGTCACTCTTTGAGGGGGAAGAGAAAGAAAGGAAAGTGAGAAAAGGGAGGGCAGCTTCCTTCATCAAGGTCTGTGGGGTTCTCTCCTAGTGCTTCCTAGGACTGCAAAAGGGCCGGGGTTAAACAAATGATAAGAACAGGTGTGATTGTTCTTCTCCATTAATAAGTTAAACCTTAACTGTGAAAGGAAAAAAATCCTGATAGAAGTTGAGGAGCAACTAGGCAACACTTACCAAGTAACTCAGGCACGCTGACTGCTTTTTGCTGCTGGGTTATCTTATAGTTTAAGTCACTGTAGTTGATTTCAATGTTCAGCAGATTCTCTCTGGGGTGAACACAGAATTGACATGCACTGTCAGCACTGTCTTCAACTTCCGTTTGACAAAGTCAGATTCATTTCAGAATCAGACACTATTGATTGTTGAACAGTATGTGTGTTCATATTAATGCCAGGTAGGTAGCATCATTTGGAAAACACCCCTGTTAGGCTGGGACTTGGGGAAAAGAATTATTGCCCGCACTCATTTTCTTCCTGCCTCATTCCTGAGTCGCTGGAACAGAACCCTAATTATCACCATCTAATGAGTGGACTAATGTCTTTACAAATAGTTAAATACATATTTAATTTTCATTTCAGTCCTGGTCCTTTGCTTTGTTACTTATGTTACCCTGGAGAAACTGCTTTGTTTACCTGAGTTTTGCTTTCCCCATCTGTGGCCAGGATTTGAGTTGAATTCACAGTGTTGTGCTGAGAAGAAATTAAATAATTATGCACAGGACTGGCATGCGTCCACTGCTCAGTAAAGGATGCACGCGAGTGAAGACTTTTACTGTCTTTTGGGAATCTTCATCTGTCAAGCGCCATACTAATATGACAGCTCTCCACTCAGGGTAGGACACCCTCACCCTGTTTCTGGCCAGACCTTACAATTCCACCTTCTTAGGATGATTTTTCCTGATCACCATCCACAACCTGGGAATAACCTCTCTGAATCTGGCTTCTTCAGCCCCTTTTCTGCTCTCCGTCTTGGTCCATCAGAGGGGACAGTGTGTCCTTGCTGTTCATTTCCATCCCAGTGGAAACAGACACACAGCAGGGCTCTGTTTCTCAGACACCGAGGCAACCCTAAGTCCAAGAATACTCATTGATTCCTAACACATAACAGGTGCCCTCATATATTTCTAAGAAAAAATAACAAATTAAAGAGGAAGCCAAGAAATAAATATTAATTTGCCTGTGATATAAGCTGAAGGGAAACCAACCACCCTGTGATTTTCAGATGCCAGTAAAAAAGTTCATTAAGAATAGATCCTATTAGCAATGTTTCCAGGTATTATGTGATATCTGTTAACATTTCTAAGGAACATGGTTCTAAATCACCCTCTTTATTATTTACAGCATTTGAAATCAATATTCCCAAATATATTTAATTCAACATGTCTCATTAATGTGTGTACCTAATTTCCACTGGTTTAAGCCTGGGTAACAGGAGAATGTACAACGTTTAAAGAGACAAACAGGGAACACTGTAATATTTACAAACAATAAAGCAATTGCCAAAGTGAAAGAAACAATAAAGTTATCTTGGAGGTTCAGAAATTTTAGTAATGTTCCAATATTTCTGTCTTCCAGTGTGCTCCTAGTTCGCATGTGCACTGATGTTTAGTTTCAACGATGTGCAGTTTCCTAAGCACAACATTTATGATCATATCCAAGCATTATCCATTTGGGTTACTAGGAGAAGAGAAATTCCCGTCCCACAAAAACACTGCAATGTTTACTCAGCTTCTCTCAGGCAGCTGATCTGTCCAGTAATTTGGATCACACCAAATCTGTGCCTCATGGTGATAGTGAAATTGTTCAGTGATGTACAAGAACATTTGCTTATCTTAGGAAAAGCACAGCTGTAAAATAAAGTCTGGATTTTAATAAGGACAAAGAGATTTTTAAAATGAGCATTTTATTGCAGAACACTAAGAAAATGCTTCCTCCCTGGTGCCTCAAAATGAATGCTGTTAAGGGGAATGAAGTCATGCTGCATAAAGCCATTTTATGCCATTCATTTTCAAATATGTGTTAAATAGATGCCTTAGTTACTTTTCTTGTTGCTGAGACAAAATACCTGACACCCAAACTTAAGCAAGAAAAGGTTCGCTGTAGCTCAGGGTTTGTAGAGGTTTCATTTCATAGTCAGCTGACTGCAAGGCAGGGGGATATCACATTACAGAGGAAAAACAGTTCATGGTGGGCAGAAGGCAGCAAAGCAGAGAAGCAGTGAAGTAGCAAGTGACAAGTGACGTGCAGCAACAATAGCAGCCTTCTTTCTGTCTTGTATATTCTATCCAGGCTTCCCACCTAAAGGTGGCAGTGCTCACACCCAGGGTGGGGCAGCCTTAAAACTAGCGTCACAGTGTGAATCAATACCAGCATCACATCCTTAATCTCAGCGTCATACACCCTAGATCCAGCCAGCTCCAAAAAGGTCCACCTGTGACCACATAAGGATTTGGTGGACATCTAGACCCAAGGTACAACAGAATAATTTTAATAATCCACTTATTGACTTACAACATCTCCCAAGTTCAGCCACAATTTACCCTTGTTTTCACTGCCACACTACCTTTTTCAGCTGTGCTAAGCATCTCATCATCTTCATAATGCAGTTCAGCAGCTGTCAGGGAGGCCTGGCCTGGCCACAGCCTGGGGCTGATTTCTGCCCCAGGAGGAAACCTACCCAGGTGTGGTGATTAAATTAAGGACTCCATCTTTGTAAATCACATCAGCTGCTCAGATCTCATGTCCGCTCTCCTGACAAACTACTTTTGTGTATTCTGATTTGCTGCTTTTATTCTGCTGCCAGTGTAAATTTCTTACCTATATGTGTAACTTCTCGGCTGCACCATCTAGGATCCAGGAAACACGGAGCCACCTTTGCTCAGCTGCTTGCTACAGTCTCCTAAGAATAGCTTTCACTCTTGCAGCCAGTCCCTATCCATCAGATATGCTATTGTAATTGGAAAACCATTTATAAAGATTAGATTCAACTCTCTGTTCAATACATGGGTTTCTTTTCTGACTTACCAGCATATCTCTGACACATTGCCTACCTTCTGTACAAACCCGACAATTCTAGAACTCAGAAGATCTCTAAAAGCCAAAAGTCACACAAAATCATATTTAAATGTGACAGGCGTAATTCTACATGCAAATCAGCTTCCCATATAAAAAAGGCATTTACTGCCAAAAGGAAAGATAAACTCGAGTCACCTGTTGGAAATGGATGTACTTTGAGACCATAGTGTCAGATGAGATAAATCAGACACACAGCTTAGATATCACATGGTTTATCTTGCATGAAAAATCCAAAATATAAAAAGATCAAGACAAAAGATAAGCAATAGGAAATATGGAGATAGACCTTTCCAAAAGAGGAAGGACATACAGAGATGGAGCGGGGAGGAAGGGGTGTAGATGCACCAACTCTACAAAAAGAAAGCAAACAGAGTGTGATGCAAAGATGAAGAGAAAAAGGAAAGAGATCAAGAGATGGTGGAGGGGGTGGGAGGGAGAGGCGATAAGAAAGGAATGAAGATGAGTTTGATGCGTATTCCAACTCCACAGAAGGAGTGCAGGCTTTATGCACTGCACACATGGACTAACAAAAAGTAAAGTGAGATCCTTTACAGTAAACGTAGAATTGAATATAAAGAAATATCTGTATTGGAGGCAGCAAAGTAAGTAAAGGTAATTACAAATTTATGACCTCTCTATTTTTTGTCTCTAATTATTTTAATATCCCATGAATTCTATCTTACTGAAAATACCTTTTTCTTCCTGATTTGTAAAGATCATTTTCTCTTTGATGTACTTAAATGGAAGACTTTTCTTTTTCTTTCCTTCATTTCTTTTTTTTCTTTTTTTGTGGTACTGAGGGTCAAACTCAGGACCTTATGCTTGCAAGGCAGGTGTGGTACCACTGAGCTAAATCCACAGCCCTGAAGACTTTTCTTTTATTAAAATAAATGCTAGGGCAAGACTGAGTCAAAACACACTTTCAAAGTTATCTTCTTTGCTGTGTAAAAATGTCAACTTTAATTAGTTTATATTTACTTTAATAGATATAAACGCAGATAACAATATATAATTATTATTGTGTCAGGTCCTAGGCCTAAAAATATAAATAAAAAGCAAAGCAATATTTCCTCCTTAACTGAAAAAAAAAAAAAAGGACAAAAGAACAGTTCTTCATGAAGCTTGATTTACAATTTCTAAGTAGAAAAAAACTAATTTAATACTCGGTTAATGAGGAGAATTAGAATCTTGTGTCTCTGTGAAAACCATGGTGACCAGAGTCGAAGTTCTTGGGCATAATTTCAATCTATGCCATTGACAAGAAAATCACTTAAAATCCAATGTGCTTCAAATCCCTGTTTTGCAAAAGAATAGTAAGTTTTGTTCCACCTACGTACATGCTTGTTAGAAGATGCAAGCTAGATGTCAGTAATCTTATTAGAATCTTATGCATTGTTGCAGAATATTCACACCAGGGAAACTATTCGGTATTTACACATGTGGGACTTATTTATTTCACTTAGGAGTATATCTTCAATATGTATCCATTTTCCTATGAATGAATCTATTCTCTCGCTCTTTATGGCTGAGTAATATTCCATTTTATAGAAAAACCACAACTTCTTTATCCAGTTTCCAACGGAT